CACTTTACTCACAACTCTCATCAGACGCGAGCAAAGTGTGAGTGATGCACGCGCTCACCAAGCCTGCGGGCCCTGCCTGCCTAGCTGCATGCGAGGCAGCAGGATGCGTATATCATGTACCAACCGGCAGCGAAATGCAGTTGTCGTAGCTCGCTCGCATAGGAGAGGCACACCGACAGTTCGCAAGGGCGGAGCTAGCCGTGAATCGTCGATTCGAAGAAAGTGCCTGCTTTTGGGCTTTTCCCTTCCTCCGCGCAACCAACCTCGTTCGTGATGCTGGTGATGCTTCGGCGCGAGACAAAACCCGCGTCGCGACTCACGACTGCTGTGGTCGCGGCGCCTGCTGAGCAAATTTGATCAGGCACGCATGGTCACGCTTTGCAAGAAGCGCTCCTTATTGCCGCTGATTCCACGCCAGCGATCATTCGTCCCCAGACCTTGCCCTTGGAGCGTGCAACAGTTCGGCAACTCTTCAGTCGTTGGCAGCGACCACCCTTGTATTCTGACGCTTGCCCTCGTCTCAAGCCTTGATCAAGGCTGCATCTCGCGGGACGGTGGCGCTTCGGGCAGACTTGGACGGCTTCAAGAACAGCGTGGACTTTGACACGTTCTCCGAATCTGAATGGTCTGCGACTCTCTTCGCACAGCAAAGCCAGTCAAGTCAGCATGCGCACGCTAGAATGATGCATGGTGTTATTGAAGGTCCGACGTGGTTCCCATGCTTCGCAGAAGCCACCGATTTGCTCGACGTGGCGGTTCAGCGCACTGTGCCAGCTGGGTCCGCTGCGCTTTGGTATTCTAGCTCACCAGTCAGAGTCATACGACCAGTTATGCGCTTCCGAGAAGAAAGCATACCTTAGCAACAGCCAAGAAAAGCTTCATTAGCTAGCTCAGGCAGAATCCGCGCACATATTCGCCATGCAGCAAAGGGTCACTGGCCTGGTCGAGCTGACGTTCCAAGGTCGCGCCCGCTACGTCTGAAAGCATCGAGATGACGCGAATAAGACGGGCTTCGAGGCTGTGTTCATCGGGATCACGCTGTGACCCTTGGCAGAGATCGGGCTCTGCACAACAACCGCTGCACATGTGTCCAGCCCGCTTTCAAGGCACCAACCAGGCCAAGTTGCTCGAGGGCTCTTCTTGAAGCAGCATTCATGATTCGCGATTCACGATTGCTAGCGAGGGCAGGTGTGACAAGTCTTTGGTCTCGTCGGAACCTTGAGCCCAGGTCCATGGGGCCGGAAGGACGCACCAGAGACTCACTTCAAGCATCTCAACTGATACAGTAGGCGATCTTGCAAGCAGCAGAGAGAGGTCGTCCATGCACGTTGAAATTGAGCTTGTGCTTATGTTGGCTCGTGGCCACTCGTCTGGTCAACGCCTCCCCGCTCCCGTTGTCAGTGCTGTCGCAGTGCTGGTGATTTTGACCAGGGGTGAATCTTGTTGTATGTGTCATAATTCCCCGACAATGAACCGTCTGGTCATTAGCCAAAAGTGCGAGCCGCTGCAAAGCTTGATAAGCCTGACACTCTTCGCACTCTGCGAATTTGCCCGGATCTTTTCACGCATCAAGCTGAGCGCTTCCTCTACCTAGGCATGCGCGGGCGTAGGAAGCCTTTCAAGGTGTCCATACCTGTGCTGAACACATCTCTCCGGAACAGCATTTGGGTCCATTGGTAGCAGCTCCAAGGCGAATGCGACCAATCGACTGGCAATCCTTCCCGATAGCCCAGCTTATGCCGGACCAGTGCTCCCAAAAGTAGCACATAGCTCGCTCTATACTCAGCAGTCAGGAGTCGTGGTGGGCGTCGTTCTGAGCCCGACGATGAGTTGCCTTGGTCGCGCCTTGGTCGCGCCATCAGCGAAATGCACCAATGACCAGGATGACCGACACGGCCGCTCCGGCTTTAGCGTCGAAGGCAGCTGACCTCGGGCTTTCAGCGCCTTGCGAAAGTTGCATCCGGAATCAAGTGAGGGTCGTCTGCTTGCACACAGCAGCTCAGCTCTCGCTCAAGGTCTGCGAGGATCAATTCGACCGAGCCGTCCAGCCCTCCTATGCTCAAAGGCCCGCGTGGCGAATCGGAAACTGCATCTCCATCAACGATGAGTCGCCCTAGGAGACAGCAAGCGGAAAGATCCTGTCCCGTTGCGAGTAGACGAGTAGAGCACTTCCCGAAGAACTCTGATGAGACCTCCACTCACGACTCGGACATTCATGATACTCTGATTATACTTGACTTCTGACTGCCTTTTGGTACCACTGGTGCATTCGTTGAAGGCAATCCAACCGAATAATCCAATGTGGGTTGGCGACGTCGCCTCAACAACACGGACCTCGCGTTTCCGTTCCGTGAGTCAGCGGCTGCGGTGATGCGAGTCAGAGTGCACAGTAGTCCGGAGCTCACTCAAGACTGTGACCACAGCAGTCTTGAGTAAATATAGCTCGTGTCGTGCGCGTTCGAACATGCGCTCGGCGGTGCCGGCCGCGGCATGCCGGACTTTCTAGAAGCCGCGGGGCACAAGCGTGCCGCTGATGAACGGCATGCAGCGGTAAAGATCACGTGCGTTGCCGCACGCACCCACGCATGATGCCAGATTCAAGATTTCCATCGGGGCGGACGGCCGCTTGAGCGCAAAAACAGTCCGTCCGATGCGCATACAGGTATACGTATACGGTGACCGGTATGCCTGCGGCGGAGCGCCCGCGGGATCATGACTAACTATACTCCACACACTGCAGCGATCTGTTCATAATTGCTGCATGCTTAGCCGCACAGCATGATAGCAATTACGAGTGTGAGTGTGCCATACGCCGGCTGAGTTCTGCAATCGTGAATCCTGCTGCTGCGCTGCTGATCGATCTCACAATCAGCAAGAATGCCAAACCAGGCAAGCAGGATGATGGTGGTCATGGACCTGCTGCGACCGCCTTTGGAAGCTTTGGGCTCGACGTAGTCCCTCGTCTATATAAAGGGCTGCTTGCATGATCATCGAGAAGGCTTGCGATTCCCCAATCCAGCTCACTCACCTCGGAGCTTCTCGCATACACAAACAGCTATCTAAGCTTCATCCACAACTCAGTCACTTTCCGCAACTACCCGCAAAACTCAACTTCCACTGCCACCACGCCCAACATTCGCCCCATCATGTCCGCAGTCCGTCACGTCCTCGTCAGTGGTGCTGGCATAGCCGGACCCGTCCTAGCCTACTTCCTCGCCCAGGCCGGCATCCGCGTCACGGTCCTCGAAAGGGCACCCGCTCTGCTTGCACAAGGTCAGAACATCGACATCAAAGGCAGCGCCATCGTCATCATGCGCAAGATGGGCTTGATCGATGAGCTCAAGCGCTACAACACGCTAGAAAAGGGCACGCACTTCGTCGACGACAAGGGCCGCTTCTTTGCGCGCATGCCGGTTCAAGAGGGCCTTGCGACCAGTCCCACGCAGGAATTCGAAATTCTGAGAGGAGATTTAGCCAAGCTACTCTTCGAGGCAACCAAGGACCATCCTCTTATCGACTACCGATTTGGCATCATCATCGAAAAGGTTCTGCAAAACGACGAGAAGCTCGTCAAAGTGCAGTTGAGCAACGGCGAGACTCTCGAATCTGATCTGCTGGTCGCGGCGGATGGTCAATGGTCGAAAATTCGTCGCGACAACTTCCCTCAAGAATGGCTGACGATCATCGACAAGAACATGTACGGCATCTACTTTACTGTGCCTCGCAAGCCCACAGACACGAATTGGTGGACCGTGTACACGGCAAAAAAATCTCGAGTTGTTAGCTCTAGACCTGACTCGCACGGCACGTACCGAGCCTTTCTCAGTCTCATGCCTAGCAACGAGCAGCAGAAGAACGCTTGGCAGTCTGCGTCACGAGGCGATCGACAAACGCAAGAGGATTTGTGCAGAAAAGAATTTGGGGATGCTGGGTGGGAGGCTCAGCGCTTCCTGGACGCGATGTCCGACGCCGATGATCTCTACTTCCAAGCGGTTCAGCAAATCAGGCTCTCAAAGTGGTCCAAGGATCGGATCGTCTGCGTAGGCGATTCTGCGTACGCGCCGACTCCGCTCTCTGGAATGGGAACACCGCTCGCCATCAACGGAGCCTACACCCTGGCAGGCGAGCTCGCTAACCTCAAAGAAGGCGCCCCGATCACCACGGCTCTCGAAGAGTATGAGAGGAAATTCAGACCTTTCGTCGCAGAGTGTCAAGACATTCCGTCTTTCATTCCCAGCATCATGCACCCTTACGTCGCATGGAAGAGATCTCTACTCTGGAGCTTCGTGAGCGCGTTTGCTTTCTGCGCGCGCACGCCCCTCATCATCAATAGATTCGGAGGGGCAAAGAAAAACGACGACGAAGACTATCCACTTCCAAAGTACGCCGCTTTTGAGGTAACAAAGGGCGACTAGGCCTGGGCGTTGAGATCTTATGGAGAGCCCGCTCGCACAGCACGATGCAACGCATATACCACCGCTCTGTAGCGCTTTCGTGATGGAGATGTACTCAAAACTTTGGCACACATACGTCTGAAATCACCATTCAGATGAGACCATACTTTGCGCACTGATTCCAGCTATCCCAAGCGTAAATTCAAGACCCAAGACGCGAGATGACGAATATTATTGACACGGCGCTCCGGGGCTTGGCCTCACGTGAAGTAGTATCGTCCTGCTCTCTTCCACTCGTCCTGAGCTGAATGCCAAGCGAATCGCCAAGCCTCGGCCCCGAAAATTTGCTCAACCTTCGCAAGCCGGTCCTTCACCTTGACTCTGCCACGAGGTATGGACAATTCAATGCCTTCAGCGAACTTCAGGTCTTCGTAGGCCTCCTCCTCTTGCCACGTGTCGTCTAATTTTCCGGTGTGAATCGCTTGCAGCTCTTGGAGCTTTGGGTGCGTCTCGATGAATTTTTCGACCACGGGTCTAGTCGCTCCGCAATTGTACAGCCTCAAAGCTTCCAGGTTTGCCCAGGGTGTGCCGGCTTCACTGTTCAACAAGCTGTCCACATTCAATGTTGCGGTGTCGTACGGCATCAGGTGCATCTGCAGCTCCAGAAACTTTAGCATTGCTCGCAAACACCGATCAACGTCAGAGGAAGCTGAGATGGCAGGGCGATGAGGAACGTGACTTACGCGAAGGTCCGGACACCTCTTTCGAAGGGGCTCTTCCAAGTCTGTGCATTCCAAGTCTTCTACGGCATCCTCGTCAGCCCAAAAGGCCCAGGTCGTGAAGCTGAAATGTGTCAAGCCTGACACATTGTCAAAGAACTGCAGAATCGGCATTTGGACTCATCGTCAGCCGTTCCTTGAGCAGATCTACGGTGGCGTAACGGATGGGATGCCAGTACGAACTTGCGGACCCCAAATGGGAGGATGCCTTCGTTCCAAGCGCGCAGTCTCCTCTTCAAATGCGTTTCGTCTGGCTGGCTTTGGCTGATACGGCGAGCCACCACTGTAGTCGTTGACATATAATCGCCGAAGATTTGGACAAGATGCGCGCAGCGCACCCCAGATATCTGCTCGTGATTCGGGACCAGAAGGCTGGCAAGGCGTCGCAGAATCCCACACAAAACTAGGACATGTATGGGAAGCGGTTCGTCAGCTGCCGTCATGCATCGACCTGCGGGCATGGAGCTGGTGCTCACGTCTCCAGTGATGTCAGATTGCCGAGAGCAGAGACGAGGAGATGCTCGCCTTCAGAGACATGCTGCACTTGCGCATCCAGAGCTGCTTCTTGTTCTGCGACATTATCGCTGTGATCCGCTCGTTCACTCGCACTTAGGATTGAATTGGGCCATTGGAAGGTGCCCTCATCGGCCGGCCTCTCGAAGCCGAGCGGCACGACCTCTGCAACGGCCGGATCCAATCTGGCCTCCCACTCCTGTCCATCGCTGTGCACATCCGGCCAGCCTCGGGTGATGTCTAGACGAGTGATCAGTCTTGCGCCTTCCGGGTTAGCGATCAGATACCTCCACAGCTTCTTGTGCGTCACGCGAGCCCTTAATTGGGTCTTGCGCAGCATCCTGCCGACGGCCACATCCCTGAAGACTTGATTGACGCAGGCGGCGTTGAGCACGTCGCTCCTTTGCGGCAGATGTCGCAAAATGCCAAGGACAAGTTCAGGCAAGCTGAATGTCATTGCCGTTGCTGTTGCTGGGCTCCTCATGACTTGGAGATAAACTTTGTGCAGCTTTCTAGGGAAGCGTTTTCGTGATAAGATCTTTGATACCGTCTTGTGCTGTTTCCTAACTTTTAATCCTTCTGAATTCTGATCAGCATTTTCCAAGTTTGAAGTGCAAAGTGTGTGGTGGGCAATGAAGCAATGAAGCAGATTCACATTGCGCATCCATCACGACAAGGAGAGCCAAATCACAAACTGCGAATCTGCTGCAACTCTGTTGTGCTGGTGGAGGCATCGGGTGGTCCGAGCGTTTATATGCTGAGTGCAGATGCACGCACCCCTCGGTTCCGACGGGTTGTGCTAGTACAGAGCATATATGCAGCGCTGCGCGCCCACGGAATAATTGCGCCCATACATCCATGCAAGCGTCAAGGACCTCTTATGCCGCGGTGCAATTAAGGGACGACCACTCACGACTGCGACACTACATGCATATCTCCGGTCGAGCTCAGTTCGTGGACGTTACAGCTCACGGGAGGGGAGCTCCTGGATTGCGCAGGGCATTCAGCCGCTGCGCAACCCACGACTTGCGCGATTCAGACAAAAGATTCACGATTCGTGAAAATGCTTGAGCCTGGACGCGTATATCGTGACCATACATGTCCGTTGGCGCTGAAGTCAGCAAGCTACGCGACCCTATACAGTCACGAGTCCGCGGGCGCAGCTTGCAGCACAACATCGATTTCT